CGCCTCGGCCTACCAGAGAGCTAGGATTACAGGCGTGAGCCACCGTGCCCAGCCCTCTATTCATCTATTCTTTAACTCATTGTTTCTATTTTTAGTAGAGACGGGGTCTCCCTCTTGCTCAGGCTGGTTTCGAACTCCTGAGCTCAAACAATCCGCTCGCCTCGGCCTCCCAGAGAGCTGGGATTACAGGCGTGAGCCACCGCGCCCGGCCCCCTCTTAACATCTTAACTCATCCTTCTCCCGTTCAAGCACAACTTCCTCAAGGAAGTCCTCCCTGATCTCTGAGCATGCCATACATCCTCCCGTAAAACATTTATCACGTTTCTGCTTTTACGTTTCATAGGGTGACCTTTTGGTTAATGTCTGTCTCTTCTGGCAGACTGGAGGCTCCTTGAGGGCAGGACCAGCTCTGAGGGGCTGCACTCAAAACAGATGACCAAGTCCTTACTAAACCAACCTTATCTGGCTTCCCGTCCCCTCCCTTACTCCAGCCATGCCGCAGGTGGCGTGGGGCCCTTGCTCGTGCTGGTCCCACTCCACAGCACACCCTCCCCAGACATCCACCTGGCTCCCTGCCTTACTTCCTTCAGATCTTTTCTCAGATGTCCTCTTCTTATCTAATACCTCACCCCAGTCCTTCCTATCCTCTTCCTGCTTTAGTTCTCATCTCTTCAGAATGTATTCCTAACACATAGTATTTTATTTATTTCTCTTGTTTACTTGTCTACTCTGCCCACTAGAATATCAGTTCCATGAGGGCAGAGCCTTGGGTTTGCTTTGTCTCCTGATGTATCTATCTCCAGGGCCTAGAACTGTGCCTGGCACGTAGCAGGTACTATTTGTTGAATGAATGAGTGAGAAAATGTTTTTACTTACCACTATGTTCCTGAATCCAGCACAGTGCCTGGACATAGTGAGTGATTAATAAGCATTCGTTGAATGAATGAGTGAATGAACAACGCCCACCTCTTACAGTTTCTGCCGTTCTCCCGGAAGCCTTTGGCAAAGGGATTGGCTGCAATCTTCAGTTGTGTGATCTGGGGGCACACACCCAGGGTCAAAGCTCCTGTGGCCTGGGCAGGCACCACACCCCCTCAAGCAGGGTCACTCACCCGTGGGTTCTGGTAGGCTGTCACGGAGATGAATATGGTTTCGGGGAAGCGGAAGGAGGCCACGCCCCCCCAGTGTTGGCTGCAAAGCTGGGCTGCCCGCACCAGGTGTATGCGGGGTTGGTACTTGTGCATGGAGTGCAAGATCAGCTAGGAGGGAAGAAATGGGAGTGACTCACTGTCCTGGACCCCAGCCTTGGTCTCCCCATCCAGCACCACCCCCAGTCCCTGTCCTGGGGTCCCAGTCTGGGCCTCACGTGGCCATGGGGGTCCAGCGTGCTGTTGGTGAGCTTGACACGATGGAAAGACACAGGCTGCCGCATCCAGTGACCGCCAGTGGCAGGAGAGTCGGGGTGAATGTAGACACGGTCGGGCAGGCGGGGCTCCGCCTTGCCGCTGGGCTCCCAGCGCCGGCCCTGCCATCGGTAGCGAGCCCCATCTACTGGAACCACATCCAGAAGAAACAGGTAGCGGGCCTCGGGGTCCAGCCCGGCGACTGATACTCGGCAAGCAGGGAACATGCGCCTGCACAGGGGAGGGTGGTGGGAGAGGCCAGGAGTGGGCACAGCACCAGCAAAGGGGCAGAGCAACAGGCCCCCTGTGCTGTCAGAGAATCGCCAAGGGAGGTGGAATCAGAACTCAGAGGGCAGAATCCCAGAGCTGGAAAGTTGTCTCCCCCCATCTTATACATGGGGAAACAGGACGGACAGGTTAGGCGACCTGACCAGGATCACACAGCAGGTAAGGAGCAGAGTCCAGACTCCTCCTGACTCCTAGACCCTCAAAGTCCATTTGCAGAAGCAGTGGTGACTAATTTCTCTCTCAGAAATCTTGCCAGGAGCCTACCCTGCTCTCCTCAACTGATCTCCAGCACCAGCATCTGCAGCTATTAGACAAAGTTGCCTCAGAAAAAACATTCTCTGCCTTCGGTGGGGCAGAGAACTTACCAGGCTGGAGCCCTCCCACCCTAGATAACGACCTCCACACAGGCCACACAATGACCACATCCCTGCCTCTAGGGCGACCCCAGACCTAGTCATATATTGATTCCTATTCAGTCACATACTGACCCCTGATCCTGTCCAGATTTCACTGATGCTGGTCACTGGCTGGCCCTTGACCCCAGTCAGTCTGAATTCTGATTCCAGGCCCAGCCTGACCCATGATCTAGGCCACACACTAACCTATAAACCCAGCCAGACTTCTTGAACCTGGCAGACTGACCTATGACCCTTGACATAGATTGGTCCCCAAACCCAGCCACGGACTCCACAGACTGACCCCTGACCTTTGCCACAGAATGACTCCTGATTCCAGCCACAGAGTAACTCCCGCCCAGGCCATATTCAGATTTGGAGCTTAGGCAGAGCCCCAGCCCTCAGGGAAACCCCTAAACCTAGCCCCATCCCAGGAATCCTGCCTTCCCCAAGAGACCCCCTCCAGAAACACCGATCCTGGCCAGCCCCTCACCTCCCAGCTTTGGTGATGATCATCTCTGTCCCCACAGAGCTGAACTCCTTCCACAGCTCCCGGTTCTCCAGGCTCAGGCTGACCCCAGGGAGTGAATGGAGGACCTCTGGGGCTGACGGTGCTGGCTCAGTGCCCATGGCTGGGGGCAGAAGGGGCAGAGGTGGGGGTGCAGCCAGAGTGCGGGGAGCAGCCTCAATTCCAGAGAGGAAGCAATCCAGTTTTGGGGTGTCCAAATCTGGAGATGGAGGAAGAATGAGGAGCCAGTGGAGAGCCACAGCAACCCCAGACTCCTATCCAGGAGCTGGTCCCAAAGCTCACCGGGATAGCGGTAGCTCTCTGCCAGGGCAGGCGGGAAGCTGGAGTCAGCCCCGGGCTGGGGTGGCCCCAGGCGGTAGCCGGCCCCCAGGGAGGGGTACAACTCCCGTGGATGGTACATGTTGTAGTTCCCTCTGGCCTCAGGTCCTGCTTCCTAGAGTCCCCCAGTGCTGAGAGATGTCCCCTTTATAGCTCACAGCTCAGCCCCTTCCAGACCCAGGATCACAGCCCCTCCCCTCTTTGGGGCCCTGGAGTTGGGCTGAGGTGGAGACCCCTGGGGCCTCGATGGGGTCCAAGAGGGGGCCGGATACCTGGGTACCGTCCCAACCACCCTCCCCACCCCTCCCAGGGCGGCTTCATTAACCCCGACCCCCTGCCCCCTCATTACATAATTAACTCCTCGGCCTGATTGATCCCCAGGGGCTCGGACGGGGACGCAGTTTGGTGCTTCCGGCCAGCTGGTCCCCGTTCCCACGGGGGGAGCCCCGGCGAGGGATAAGCTGGGGGGCGGGGCCTGGACCCTGGGACGGAGACTGGAGTCTTGGGGCAGACCCCGGCACCCTAGACTTTCTGGCAGGTGATCCCCTCCCCGCCCCCCTTCATTTGGAGGACAGGCCTTGGAGGGGAAAAACCTAACTGGAGGGAAAGTGCAGGGCTGGAGGGAAGCGGCCCGAGCTGATGACGCGGGGTACTCGGAGCCTCGAGGAGTCCGCAGACGAGGCCTGAACCCTGGAGTCCTCCCCGGTTCCCATTCTGTAAAACCTCCATCCTGGGCCAAATCTCAAAAGTTTAGAGGCGCGCAGGCTCCACAGTCTGGCGACTCGCGCAGGATTTCCCAGAGGTCCCAGGGCGGGGAACCCGCGGAACTACACTTCCCAGCAGGCCCAGCGCCGAGGCCCGCCCGGGGAGGCCGACGGGCCGCGCCGGGGCCGTTGGGAGTCGTAGTCCACCGAGAGGGGCAGCCGAGCGAGCGGCGCGGTCGCCTCCCGGGAGAGCTGCCCTTAGGCGGCGGCCAAACGCTGAAGCCGAGAAGACGCAGATCAGCCGAGGTCAAGGCCTGGGGAGCCAGCGTGGGCGCGAGAATCCCCACCGGCTGTGAGACCTGTCCTGGTTTCTAAACGTCCAGCTTGGACGGCTGTGCCTACACCATGCCGCGCTGGAGCACAGAACCTCGAGCAGGTCTTTAGGGGCAGGAATCTACATTTGAATTCCCCCTTCCCGGGTTCCACATGAGCCTGGGGCTGTCTCCACTCCATTGTTTTATTATGTACAAACGCTACAGAACAAGGGGAACAGACACGCGTGGGGTAAGAGGGGCCTGGTGGGAGAAGTTCACAGAGCAGACGGTGCACTGGGGCCAAGAGAGCAGCACACAGGCCATTATCTATAGGGCAGGCGGGACAGGGACGGGTTAAAAATGAGATCCAAGCCAGCCAGATCGCAGGGAGGTGCGGGGGTGTCGTCCCCCTTCTGATCTCCCCCCAAGGTCACAGTGCATGCAATAAAATATATGTACAGGAGCTGGGTCCTTCCTCCACAGGGGCCCTGAAGGTTCAGAGCTCCCTTCGGGCAGAGGGAGGCCAGTGGCGCCCCCTGGCGGCCAGGCCGGGCTGGAGCCACATGCGCCAGGAGCAGGGGTCAGTCCCAGCCGTTGTCTTTGATCATGTGGTTGAGTTCAATGATGTACTTCCCCTCTTTGTACTTCTGGCTGCTTTCAAAGGCCTGTTCCTGAAAGGAGGAGAGGGGCCGTCATCCCTGGAGCAAAAGCCCTACCACAAGGCACAGGGGTTAGGAAGTGGATATGATCGGCCCCATTTTACATATGAGGAAACTGTGGACCAGAGAAGTCAAGCCACTTGCCCACAGACACACAGCTGGTAAATGGCAGGGCTGTGTTTCTCACAGGGGGTAGACAGAACTCTCTGAATCATAGGTACTTTAAGTACTAATGATGGCTCCAACAGAGAGGATATAAAGTATCTAAAAGCCTTCATAGTCTAGGGATTGCAAACTGGTGGCCTGAGGGCCATTTTGGTCTACACATGTTTTGTTTGGACAGGAGAAAGTTTTATAAAAATAACTTTAAAATATTAAAATATAGGCAGGCCATGCTCATTCCAGTTGGCCCCAGCCTGCTCCCCCCACCACCTCCAATCCTTTCTGCACCTTTTAAAAATCCACAGTATCTGCTTGGCCTTGCAGGCACTTGAGTTTTTGATCTCTGGACTAGGTAGGCCACGCCTTTATTTTACAGATGTCTAGAGAGTCCAAGCCACCTGTCCAGAGACACACAGCAAATCTATGGCAGGGTCAAGGGTGAACTCAGGTCAGGGCTGTCTGTCTGTCTCTGTCCATCCACTTCACATAGGCATCACAGCTCTAAGTGATGCCTGAAGAATCCTCTCCCTTGCAGTTTCCCAAGAGCATCTTCCTTTGCTACATCTAATCTGATCCCCATAACAATCTTGGGTGCCAGGTAGTGGCTTTATCTTCCATTCCAGATAAGGAAATGAGACTCACGGTGGTGAAATCAGACTCTGGACAGCAGCAGTGGCAATAAGGGCAGTGAAAAGGAAGCCCGTGAACCCAAGCTCCATGTTGCTGTGCAGTCTTGGGCAACTTTTCTGATCCTCTGAATGATAACATAAGCTGGTGGCCAAGGGTTTGGAGTAAAAGAAAAAAAAATCAACTAGGGGCCGGGCGCGGTGGCTCACGCCTGTAATCCTAGCACTCCGGGAGGCCGAGGCAGGCGGATCGTTCTGAGCTCAGGAGTTAGAGATCAGCCTGAGCAAGAACGAGACCCCCCGTCTCTACTAAAAATAGAAAGAAATCGGCCAAACAACTAAAAATAGAAAAAAAAAAAATTAGCCGGGCATGGTGGTGGGTGCCTGTAGTCCCAGCTACCTGGGAGGCTGAGGCAGGAGGATCGCTTGAGCCCAGGAGTTTGAGGTTGCTGTGAGCTAGGCTGATGCCTCGGCACTCGCCCCAGGCAAGAGAATGAGACTCTGTCTCAAAAAAAAAAAAAAAAAAAATCAACTAGGATTCTGGTCCCTATTCTGTTACTTACCAGTTGTATGATCTTGGGCAAGCTACCTAAAATCTTTGGGCCTCCCTGTTGTCTTCTGTAAAGTGGAGATAATAATGGATTCTGCCTACAAGATTGTTGTAATGATTGAATGAGATAATATATGCCAAGCACACAACAGTTCCTGGCACATAAGCATTCAGTAAAGGTTAACTCTGATTATATCCTCATCTCTAAAATGGGGATGCAAGTACCTGTGAGGGAAGGAATGGGTTAAGAGAAAAATTCTAAAAGCACTTGTAGGATGTGAGAGAAGAGAACACGGTCAGGGGATCAAAAGACAGTTTGGCTTGTGTGAGCTGGGCCTATGCACTCTGAAAGGTTACCAGATGACTGCTTGTGAAGAGGAGGTGATGTAAGGTCAGGTCAAAGGCTAGCCTGGGGTCAGAGGCTGCTAACTCACATATTTCCAGCCCAAAGTGGTCTTGCAGTTCTCACAGTGGATGTCAGCGACAGCATGGAGGCCTGTCAGCAGCACCCGCTCCTCGGCTGGCCCGCAGCCCACGTTCACCCTGTGGGGACATGGGGCAGTCCCAGGGAGGGTCCCACCATCACAGAGCCCCCCTCAACCTTGTATTCACTGTGTCTATTCTTAGCATCCAAGAGAAGGGTGATCACAACTTCCTGCCTGAACCAGGGAACTCTGGGAGTCTCAGCATGATGCCAGGGGCCACAGGTCACAACAGAGGTCAGGAAAAGAAAGGAGGGAGGCTGAATACTCACACGGAGTTGAAGAGGTAGGCACGCCCCTGACTGCCCTGGAAGGACTACAGGGTGGGAAGAGAGAAGGGAGTCAGGGCTACTGGTGGGGAGCTGCCAGGCAGCCTCTCTAGCCTCCTGTTCCAGCCCCAACTGTGGCCTGGTTACCTTGGAGATGAGGTCGTCGTGGTTGGCCAGGTGAGCGCGGCAGTGGGCACAGCTATACCTCCGGTGACAATCATCCAAGTAGGCCTGAAACGTCTTGGGCTTTGAAATCCGCACCATGGCGGGGGCCGGGGGCAGTGGCCCCACGCGGGGAGCGGCCCACGGGGAGCAGAGGGAGCCCAGTGCCTGCCAGGGAGGGAGTAGGTGGGCTGTGAGGACCTGGACCACACACATGCAGGCACTCCCAGAGTGATAGGGACTCTCTCTGTCACACTTGGCTGCTCTCTACTTTCCCCAGAGCCAACAGCCTCTCTAGGGACTAGAGTCATTTCAGTTTTGACTCAGTGAGGAGGCCTCAGGTTGCATCAGTGGAGAAACTGAGGCTAGGAGGAGCCCAGGGTGAGTCACCCACCTGCTTCCAGCTTCACCCCTGCTGACCTGGCAGCTGAAGCTGGAGGAAGGAGTTTTAGAGTGGATGGACTGTCAGTTCCCAGTTTAGGAGGAGCATGGGGGGGTTAGGAATTGGTTGGTCCTTAGGACCTCATCTGGACTGCGCCTGGGGCTTCACCTGAGGTGCAGGGAGTTCATCTGGGGAGAGGGTCCCTCACCTGGAGGAGGCAGGAGGCCTCGCTGAAGGTGCAGGGTCACCTAGGAGGGGAGGGGCTCTTACCTGGGGGAGCTGAGGCCTTATCTACGCCGAAGGGATCTTACCTGCATCGCGGAGCCTTACCTGAGACCCCGGGGCTCACCTGGGGCACGGGGGTTGGGGGCGGGCGCCGGGGGAAGGGGCAGTCCTCGCTGGCGGGGCGGGGGCGCGGGGCGACGCGCAGCCCTGATGATGCGGGCCTCACCTCGCCTGGGCGCGCGGGGGCCCAGTCCGCCGGGGTGGCCTGGCCTGGGAGTGGGGGGCGCTCCTGGTGGGCGCCGTCCCCCCCGGCCCGGGTTCGCAGCCGCCTTGACTTGTTTACACCGAGACCAGCTGCTGCCGCCGCTGCGGCGGGAGGGGGAGGGGGCCCGCCTCCTGTCCCGGCGGCCGCCGTGGCCAATCGGCGCGCGGCATGCAAATAAGGGGGCGCGTCATACGGCGGCCAGCGCAGGCCTGGGCTGCCCTTCCCCCTGCTCCCGGCTCGGGCCAGCCCGGAAATGCGGCTGCGGCCGGCCCGGCCGGCAGCGTCCAGGCCCGGCTGCCGCTTTGGCTTCCTGCGGTCTTTGAAGGGGCAAGGATCCGAGCGTCCTGACCGAGGGTCGGGTTAGGAGGAGGCTGGGGTTTGCACGCACGCCCCTGAGAAATTTAGTCATAATTATCTGCGTTTAGCCATCGCCAGTGTCCCACTCTCTTAATCCCCCAATCAATCCTATAAGACAATTGCTCCTATTGTCTCCATTTTGGAAACTGAGGCCCAGAAAGGTCTAGCAGCTCTCCCGAGGTTATCCAGCCGGTAAGAGGCAAAGCTGGAATTTTCACTTTGGTCCAATTCCATAGGACGAGTGACAGACTCAGTTCACCTCTTAGAAGAGCTAAAGGTGTGTATCCCAGTTAGACCCCTGGGAGCTGAAGCCTTGGGATAAGCCAGTGCCTACTGTTGAGTATCACATCCTCCAGGCCGGGTTAGGTGCGAACTCAGTTGAAAATACCTGCTTAAGCATCTGCTGTACTTGGACTTGTCTTGTTCACTGCAGTGTTCCCAGTCTGGTCCAGAGTAGGCACTCAATAAATGTTTCTGTTTTGTGAATATGTGATTCATCAAATGAATTAGGTACCAGGGCTGCAGAGGCCAGAGGAGTTCAGGGAGCTTCTAGAGGAGACGTGGGAGTGGAAGGTTAGAGGCGACAGAGGGGTGCCGTGAACTCAGCCGTCCCACCCAGGCCCACTCTCTACAGCCCAGTGAGGAGGCCCACAGGGGCCAGAGGTGGGAGAAGTCAAGTACCTGGTCATGTGCCTGGGGCTCTTGATGGCCTCAGGAAAATGGAACCATTATCTGTGGCTCTCAAGGGGCTGGGGGCCAGGACACCAGGGTTGGCTGTCCAAGGGACATTCCTGAGGAAAGTGGAGGCCAGGCTGGCACAGGGTGTGGTACTGTTCTGGGTCTGGAATGTAGTGGAACCAGTGGGTCAGGCTTGTTAGAGGCTCAGGCTCTGGCCTCTCCATCCTTGAAGTCTTCAGGAGGACCCCCACCCCTCACCCCAAGCACAATGATGTAACTGAAAAGCAAATATTTATTTTTCGGGAAGAGAAACAGAGGAGAGGGTGGGGGCCTCTGGACTTAAGAGGCCCGGGCAGCTGGTCTATGGTTGTCCAGGTAGCACCGCAGGGCTGTGGGATAATCGGTCATGACACCAGTGGCTCCCAGGCTGAAGGCCGTTTCAAAATCCGACTCTTCATTAAGGCACCAAAAGATCACCTGAGCAGGAAGTGGGGCTTATAGTTTCCAAACAATTGTACTTGGAACTTCCCCTTACATCTAGACAGTGGGAGCACTCCTCCTCCGTGGAGACCTCCCAGCAGTAGTATGCTGGAGCTGATTGTTAAATTTTCAGGAATTTTGCAAAGTGGTTATGAAACCCAGCCATTATTAAAAATTAAATTATATGTAAACTTGTAATTAAATTGTATTAACACAGGTAATAAATACTCAAAACTTATCACTTTCTAATTATAACCTATGTTCTTGAGGTTATATGTCTGCTGCAGCTGTTTGAAGGAAATACCACGTAATGATGTGCTACCACATACCTCTTCCCATTCTGCATTTGGTGAGCTCATGTTGGTAGCCTGAAATTGGCCAAAGTGGGAGTATTTAAACTAGGGAAATTCACGCTCAAATCAAGCCTTTTATTTTTTTCCTCCTGGAGAACCAGTTGTTGACCATGTACCCACACACCAGTGCCTCCCAGCTTGCCCTGTGTCTGTGCCTTCCCTGCCTTCCTGAGTCTTCTCCTGTGGGCACGAAGGTAGGTGGAGATAGTATTTTTATCCCAGACAAGTTCCTCAATCTCTCAATTCTTTTTTTTTGAGACAGGGTCTCACTCTGTCACCTGGGCTAGAGTGCTGTGGCATTATCATGGCTCACTGCAACCTCAAACTCCTGGGCTCAAGTGATCCTCCTGCCTCAGCCTCCTGAGCAGCTAGGACTCCAGGTGCACCACCATGCCACCATGCCTGTGTCTATTTTTTTGTAGAGACGGGATCTCACTCTTGCTTAGGCTGGTTTCCAACTCCTGACCTCAAACAATCCTCCCACCTCGGCCTCCCACAGTGCTGGGATCACAGGCATGAGCCACCATGCCTGGCCTCAATTCTTTTTTTTTTTTTTTTTTTTGAGACAGAGTCTTGCTCTCTTGCCCGGGCTAGAGTGCTGTGGCATCAGCCTAGCTCACAGCAACCTCAAACTCCTTGGCTCAAGCGATCCTCCTGCCTCAGCCTCCCGAGTGGCTGGGACTACAGGCATGCACCACCATGCCTGGCTCATTTTTTCTATATATATATTTTTAGTTGTCCAGATAATTTCTTTCTATTTTTAGTAGAGACGGGGTCTTGCTCTTGCTCAGGCTGGTCTTGAACTCCTGACCTTGAGCGATCCACCTACCTCGGCTTCCCAGAGTGCTAGGATTACAGGCGTGAGCCACTGCGCCTGGCCCCTCAATTCTTAATTTGACAAATGAGAACAGTGATCCACACCTTCAGCTCTGTGGTGAAGATGTGAGGAGTGAGAGGGCTGACCTGAAAGAGCTGTCATGCCATGCCGCACTCCCCCCACAGCCAATCAGCAGCCTGGCCTGGCCTGTCTGTGAGGCCATCCATCCCCAGGGCTGCCACCCGAGCCAAGTCCTGTCAGTGGCAGCATCGCCTGCTAATGAGACTCTCTGCTTCCACGTAGGTCCCCACAATCTCTTCTCCACATGTTGTTCACTCAGCAAACCTCAGCTGGATCGGGTCTCTCCACTGCTTCAGACCCGCAAAAGCTTCCCTTTCCGCTGGGCTGAAGTCCACGTTCCTTATTGAGGTCCACGGGCCAGCCTCAGCCTCTGCTGCCTTCTCTAGCTCCCCTGGGCCACTTCCTCCATGCTGCAGCCTGGGGGACCCTTTCAGCCCCTCTGCCAGTTCCCCCAGCAGTCACACATGCTGGGTCTCCTGGCTGAGATGTTCTCCCTTCCTTCCCTGAGAGCCAGCTTCCTCCCATTCTTCATACAGCTGCTCACCCCTCACTTCTTCCAGAAGGCCTCTGAGCCCACAGACCACAGCACTCTGTTTCTTTTCCGTCCACTCATTGCCTTTGCAATGGTGGCTTCATTTTTTCTCCTGCCCTTGATGGTAAGATCCCATCTTCAGTACCGCAGTGCCTGGAACGTTCTCAACAAAGCTTTGCTAATTAAATAACCTGGTCAAAGCTGATGCTCAGGAGAGGGGATGGTGCTGGGCCTGGGCTGTCCCTGCTCTGGTCCTTCCCCAGGCCCCCTATCAGGGATCAGGATAGTAGGTTCAATACATCATCCTTGACATCATGGCTAACGTTTATCATGCTCTTACTGAGTTCCAGTTACATATCCAAAAGAAATATAACATTCTCCCCATTTTGCAGATGAAGAAACTGAGACTTAGAAGGTGAGTGACCTGCCCAAGTGATCCAGCTCGTTAGTGGCAGACTGGGACTGGACCCTGCTACCAGGCCTACGTGTTGCAGGAGTGGCAGTCGGACCTCACCTGTACCCCACGCTCCTCCAAGTGGCGGATCAGACTCTTCCGCATGATGATCCTGCAGGGTTGGTTGGGGTGACAAAGGCAATGATGAGACGGGACAGGAAGGGCGGTGGCAAGTCTCTAAGGAATTGTCCATCTAACCTTCTTGCTCAGCTCACCATTTGGAAACCGTAGCTGTCAGCTGGTTCAGCCAAGAGCCGGGAAATGGAAAATAGGTCCTGCGGAGAGATGGGGGGTCAGCCCTTCAGGTTCCCCTCTGTCATCGCAGAGGTAATAGTGACCCCCTAACAAGTGTAACCCTACCCCCCTAGAAGAAACTTTGTAGCTGCCCAAATGAACAATTCACCCACTGTTCAGTGAGACCCTACTCTAATATCCATGCTTTGAGGATGTGCCCCTCCCCTCGCCATTTTACTGTTAAGGAAACTGAGTCTTAGAGAGCTAAGGTGACTTGCCAGTCACAAAGCAAAGCAGTGCTGGGGCCGGGGCCAGGGCCAGGACCAGACCCAGCTTGATTCCAAAGCTGGACACCCACTCTGGAGGGCCTCCTGGTTGGGCCTGGCCAGCTCAAGACCAGATAGCACTTCATGGTTCAGCTACTTGCTCCTAATTATCCCACTCCAAGGTGACTTTAGAGGCCCTTTATAGTGTCCCAGGGTAGGCTTTGAAGGAAGATCCAGGGCAAACCTGGGCTCTATACTTCTAGCTGTGTGACCTTGGACAAATTATAGAACCTCTCTGAGCCTCAGAATCTCCATGGGTACCATGGGGAACACGATTTCCACACCTCCTGGAGGTGCTGCAAGGTAAAGATCAAATAAACCAAAAGATGTAAAAACACTTTACAAGTCCTGTATAAAAAGTCACGTCGGCTGGGCACAGTGGCTCACACCTGTAATCTCAGCACGTTGGGAGGCCCAGGTGAGAGGATGGCTTGAGCCCAGGAGTTCTAGGCTAGCCTGGGCAACAGAGTGAAATCCCATCTCTACAAAACAATTTTAAAAAATTAGCCAGGTGTGGTGGTTCATGCTTATATTTCTAGCTACTTTGAGAGGCTGAGGCAGGAGGATCACTTGAGCCCAGTAATTCGAGGTTGCAGTGAGCTATGATTGCATCACTGCACTCCAGCCAGGGCTACAGTGAGATCCTGTCTCAAAAAAAAAAAAAAACCAGTTACCTACTCAAAGCTTTTAGCATAATGATCTCTTTGTAGCAAAGGACTGTGGGGGCTAGGTGGGAGCTTCTCTCAGGACAACAGAGGGGAGCAGACAGAG